TAATAATCAGGAAAAGGAACAGAGAACGTTTTCACTCACACCGACTTTTCCTGTTCTGCTAGACGTGACCAACAGGCTTTACTGCAAAAGTGAAAATATGAGTGACAAACATTTGTTTTTATCAAGGCTTTTTGTAGGAACTGCAATATATATACAACTATATATATGTACTGCATATACATATGTACATGTGCATATACATATATGTACATATGTGCATATACATATATGTACATATGTGCATATACATATATGTTTTACGGCACGAAGAGAAGGAAAGTCCAGTTGCAAAACAAACTGTCTCTCCAGTTTCGAAACACTGAAAAGTATTACTTACAGAAAGAGGAAATGACACATTTCTAAACTTGCCTCTGTCTCAACTATTTATTGTAGACGGCAGGAAATTCATTTATTTTCAACACAGGGAATTAATTTGGCCAAATGAAAAAGAAAAAAAAAAGTTCCAGTAAAGCAACAAATATCTAGGTTTACTCTATTACTTTTCTATAAGAGTACCAAACCGCTTTTGTTTTCCTTGTCAGATCTGATCAACTGATCGTTTGTACCACTGTACACGGCACTGTGGGAATTTAAGACAACAATTCCACCTGAGGAAACCCTAGCTTCAGAAAACCACACATTTTACAGTTTTTCAACTAAAACTTCTACTTTATCTTCTGAAGTTTGCCTAACCCCCTCCCCTCGCCCCCCGCCCTCGCCTATAGTAGAACATTTTATGAATCCGACAGCTGTGACTGTAACTTTTCGCACAGTGGCAAATGTTCTGTGATGGGACGATCGTGGAGGTAGCTGTTAAAATTGACTGTCCTAGTTTAATGAACTCAACACGCTGCTCGCCTCAGTTGCTGCGTGTCGTGGATGTACGAATTAATTCCTCTACAGGAGGCAACCGTCCTCTTTATGATATGATGCGGTGCTAATTCGAAAGTGAGCGCGGAGGCCTGCGGGGGCAGCAGCCGCCGCGCTCAGAGGCGACGTCGTAAAGACAACTTGTTTTGTGACAGCTGCCCTGTAGAAAGGCCGGCCCTGGCCTCTGCGTCTCCCAGCTCACCCAGATGGAGCCATCACAGAAATATCTTTGTTTACGGTTGTTGCTGCAGGGCAGCAGCCAGACACCGCTGTGGAGACATTTTTCTGCTGTTTGAATGTGAAGCTCCAGCAGAAACAAACTGTTTGTTTGGGCTGAGCCTGACTTCTCATCTCTATCTTTCTTTGTGTGTGTGTGTGTGTGTGTGTGTGTGTGTGTGTGTGTGTGTGTGTAGCCCATATGCCTGAAAATCATCAGTATGCTTTATGGCACTTAATTTATCATGATTGTGTAGCTGACGGCCTGAGGGCTGCCCGGCTCCTTGACTGTCTAACTCTGCTTTTATTTCATGTGGTCGGTGGATTTAAAAAAAAAAAAAAAAAAAAAGAACTTTCCTCTCAGACACTGCTGGTTTATTTTTTCCGCGCTTCTACAATGACAGAAAATTAAACCAAGGTTTTTGTACAGCAAACTTTCAGCTTGTTTGAAGTGGAGCGGAGTGTTTTTAAGCAGCGGCTCGGCTCCACATTTACATCATCAAACAGCCGCGTGAGAGGAGCTGACAGACAGCAGTGGACCTGCGCTGCTACTGGATAAAAAGACGTGCAGTAAAATAAAATAGAAATGTCCCATATTGGTTTGGGTGGCTTATGTGTGTGTGTGTGTGTCCAAACTGCCTCTGGGATTCAGAGCTGCTGGGCTCAGATCCCAGAGGAGACGTGTCTCCTGTGTCTCCTGTGTCTCCTGTGTCTCCTGTGTCTCCTGTGTCTCCTGTGTCTCCTCTACGCTGCACTGCGTGTGATTAAAGCAGAACAGCTTCTTGTTCTAAATAGATGAAGAAGTACAGAGTGCTGTGTCTAATGATGAAACTCCCAGTCGATTGAAAAGTTATTTGGTTGAAATAGTCCGGAAATGTTAAGATACAAATGCTTAATTTTTAAAAAAAAAATTTAAGTCGTTGCAAGGACACGTTCCACTATGAGACTGTGGTTCTCTTTGTATTTACCTTTGAGGCGCGATTGACTGATAATACTTCAGTTTTATTCCCTCTGTTTCTGACTGATGCTCTGAGGAGTTTATATGTCTGTTGAGGTCAGATTTAATAGACGAAACTCCAGGTTTTTCTCCTTCTACGGTGGAAATCAAGGTTAAGCCACAGAGATTAACGGACAAACTGAAACACATGTAAATAAACACTAATTCTCTGATTAGATTCTAAATGGTCTTTTTAACGTTGCCTCTGAATGCCTTTAGTTTCTGGAGATGAACTAGACAATAATTCACCTTAAATGAGTGACATGTAAACTAGTCAAAATGATATAGAAATGTCTGATTAACTCAAGATTTAAATAACTCTTATTTTCAGCTATAGCCGATGCCAGTGCCTTACCCTCCCCTCCCGCCTACAGGCCATTTCCCACTGGACACTGGTCTGGTCATGCATGAAAGTGACCTTTTGATGAGGCTGTTGATTTAATTTGGGTCAATAAGCACGACCATCCCTGGACACTGAGACTACAGGGAGTTAGTGGTCCAACATTACGACCCATATAATTGGCATAAAGAAGAGGCGCGGACCTCGAAGACGACGATGTTTCCCATCGCTCTGCTCAAACAGACGTCCAGTCACTCTTTAAAGAACGTGTTACATTTCTAATCCCTTTAATTAACGGCCTGAGCTGATAATCCAGACACGGTTCTGCACCGCACTCCAGCCTGGATGAGGGACAGTGAGTCTGTATGTATAGGAGGGGAGAGAGGGAGGGAGGGAGGCAGGGGCGGGGGGGTGCACAGTATATGTACATGGTGTGTGGTACAGCAGTCATTGATCCAGACGACATCACTCACAGCAGGAGGTCAGCTCCTCTTTGAACATGTGTGTGAACTGGATGTTTGAATCTAACATGCAGTTGGACATATTTTAAAGTCCATGTTTTTCCCTGTGTTTTCATGCAAATAAGTACAATTATATTAGACAATATTCATATTTAATGTCATATAATTTGACAAAACATCACAAACATTAAGTGTTTGTGCATTTTCTTCCTTTTTAAAATTCTTCAGGTTTGGCCAGATTGGACCCCCTAGCGGGCCAGTTTTGGCCCACGTGCCATATCATTGACACCCCTGGTTTAAATGATACCGGCAACAGTAGGTTTTTACTGAAGGCTGACTGCAGCACACGACTTGCTATGTTACATATTACATATTTACTTAAGATATGAGTGGAATTTTCACACCAATGTCAAGAATTGATGATCCACGTGGTCACCTGACCTGTCACCTGACCTGTCACCTGACCTGTCACCTGACCTGTCACCTGATAGTGACTTCAAAAGCACTCCCTTTCATCTCGTCTGAGAACGATGCTCATCACAAATTGTACGTCCGTGTCCAGGCAGCTTATTAAATTTTTTTTTTTTTTTTCACATTCCACTGAAAGCATTCACTGCACCGTGTCGCCGCGGTGCTTCAAGCCGTCAGGTAGGAACGCCTGTGTCCACCAGTCATTTATGTTCTGACCGACACAAAACTGATTCCATTTAAAGATGCCCACTCTCAGAATAATTATTAATTCATTATTCAAAAACACACTATTCTATTGGAGGAGTGTCGTTCACTGCTGTCTGTTTCAGAGGAAGTGACAAAAGAGTGCCTGTGTGGCACCGAGATCCAGGAAGGAAGAGATAAAATGATTATAAATAGATCAGGATCAGAACTTTTTTTTTTTTAAAAAAACACTGCCGCCATGTCTGTCAGCAGGTAAACTGAGTTTAGGACCTTGTTATAAGAACATGCATGGTGATTTATCACTGCAGAGAGCACAGACGTCCTTCAAAAATCGGATCAAATTAAGAACAAATGTACAGATGGAAAAACAAACGGTAAAAACAACACATCACTAACTCCGACCTAGTTCCATTTTAGGTTAGTCATTATTAAGTAGGTCTTCAGCTGCTTCCCAATACACCTGGCTGGAACATAATCACCTCCCTCCCTCCTCGGCTGCTTCTCTCTGTTGGCGCTTGTTTCTAAGTCCATTATTTGTATGCAAATGTACAGTCATTCCAGCCGAGTGCGGCAGGAAAAGCGAGGTGACCCATATAGTTCACGGTTGGTCCCCCTTGGTTAAAGAACAGCCCCTCCTCCCAGCCCCACTAATTGACGTCCAATGGGAAGAGCTCATTATGTGCATTAACATGAAGGAAAGTCAATTGTCTGTTAAATGAGGCAAACATTTCTCTAACGTGTCTGTTTCTCTTCCCGTCACACTGTGAGTATTCACGCTTCCACACTGTCTCCACAGTGAGTGGACGTTTGTGTAAGGGTAGGGGGAGCGGGGGGGGGCATTATACAAACATACAGTGTATTGCCCCCATTACACAAAGGGAGGGGGGCTAATCCTCAGCCTCATTTACTCGATCAGCTCCGTTACATCACTATATCAGCGGTGACATCACGGCTGTGAAAAACGAGGTCACGAAACGTAATTAGAAATGTTGTCTAATTAGCAATAACAACAGTAATAATGTTATTCATTCTCAACCAATCATTTTTATCAGAGTAGTGAAACAAATATTTCCAATGTGATATTTTAATTCTCTTATTTGTTATATGTCGTAATAATGGAAATAATTCATTAGATTTAATATTTATCAAAACTGATTTTTTTTATATATATACAGAATTATTATTTTTTTATAAATACTTGGGGGGATGTTTGCAGTTGTTGCATGCAGTATTTATGAAGAGCCTGTACTGAGTGCATGTGTGAATGTGTTTGTGCATCAATATTTACTCATACATCTTCACCAGTCCAAATGTGTCAAAACAGATCAGTGGAAAAAACACAAGCTCAGTTTCAAACTACAAACACTCATCATTACATTGATTCAAATTAACCAGGTCTGTGTTTTTGTTTTTTGTTTTTTTTTCCTGTTGTGTTTTAAAGGGAGCAGCCCATCTTCAGTGCCAGAGCTCATGTCTTCCAGATCGACCCGGCCACGAAACGCAACTGGCTGCCGGCCAGTAAACACGCAGTCACCGTGTCCTTTTTCTACGATGCGACCCGAAATGTGTACCGCATCATCAGTGTGGGCGGGACTAAGGTGAGGGACACACAACTGCAATACCATGTCACACCACATGGGGGGCAGGAGGTTGTCATTGGCAATTGCAAAAGTGCACACAGTTCCAGTGACTAGACTCCTATTGGATAGTGCGAGCTGTCAATCACAAACAGTGACACCAGCCTGAAACTAAAACATGCGAGCTGTCAATCACAAACAGTGACATCAAGTCTGCCAAGTATTTTGCAAAAACTTTTCCAAAACTATTTTCTCGTACGTGGTTTTAGCACTTGTTTTTACATAAGGCTAACACTAGTTACCAAAATGTGATTATAGACCGAACTCAACTTTATCGTCATTTTACTGCAGGCGTGAACCACGATAGAACGACATGGTGTTTTCTGCTTAGTAACAGCAACATTTGTTTAAGTTAAAAATATATTTGAAAAAAATATATAAAGATGACAGTGTGTATAGTATATGTACTTTCCTGGTTTTTACTTAAGACCTGAAAATAAACAGAAAGTACGTTTTCTCCAGCAGCAACAGTTCATCATCATCGTGCGCCTCGTTAGAGCCTCATTAAGAGCAGACATGGCAGTAATATAAACATGATGTATGGTTTTAATGACGACACAGAGACAACGAGGTCTTTCATGTGAAAACAAGAGACAAAAAGAAACAGAGAAAGTCACAGAAGTGCAGCTGGTGTCAGAGACGACACGTTTGGACGAAGATATTTCTGTTCAATAAAGGAGGGTGCAGGCTTTGTTTATTTGTTTAACACGCAGCAGAACGCTCTTTCTCCAGTGTGTGTGCTGGTATTTCTGCAGCACAGTGTCGTCCTGTCTTTTAGCAGCCCACTGTGTGAACTCCACAGATTCCAACAATACATAGAAACAAATCCATTTTCCCCAGATTCACGTGTGGGAGTGGATTCATCAAGTGTTGTCAGTGTAATGTGTTTTTTTGTTGTTGTTTTTTGCCGCAGTCTAACTAACTTAGGTAATCTAACTTTAAAGCAGCAAAAATATGACTTTTTAGCACTGAGGTGGAGTGAGTCGTAAATAAGACACACAGCTGTTCCGTGCTGTTATCGTCTGAGTGTGCTGTTTTATTGTTCTGGCATTAGAGGCGTTGGGAGCAGAGACTAATGAAGTCCGCATTTAGCAACAAATCCACCTTATCAGACAGTTCACCTGACGGAGCCGGAATAGATTATTGCACAGCGCAACAAAACTGTGCAGCAGGCCTCCTCCCTCTCAGCGCCGCCACATTGATATCTTTGTCTTCATCTGCAGTAGATGCTTATAATCTAACTGTGAGCGACACGACAACGGAGGTTGTGGCGATTGTAGTTAAGGCATCTGCAGTAGATGCTTATAATCTAACCGTGAGCGACACGACAACGGAGGCTGCAGGTTCTGTGGCGATTGTGGTTAAGATACCGTTTGGTACTTTATTAAACCTATCAGTGATGAGTGACCTTCACTTCAGCCTCATCGATGTAACCAGACACTAAGTAGTGGTCAGGGATGAACAGACGGCAGATCCAAACATTGATCCAGAGAAGTTGTCACCAAAACATGACACGTCTGTTCTTCCTTGTTACATGATTTTTTTCCCCTCCTGTTTAAAAATCACTTTCTTTTCATAAGAAGCTTTTGTAACGTGTGAAGCCGTTTCACAGATGCATTAGTCAAACAGTGTCTAATGCACAACACGTCACACAGCTATTAAGGAAAATCAATTTCAGTCCCAGCATTGTGTCCACCACGGCACCTTTTTCCCAGTCAATGTTTCTAAGAGCTTTTTCTTCCATCTAGTTACTAGATTTTCTCTATTAAGTGACGACTGATCGTTGTCACTGTTGAAAGCATTTCCCTCCGGGGAAAGACCACCCTGCTCTCCAGCTCCTTAAAAAACAGAAATGAGATCAGACATTCACACATTTTCACTTCTAGTTTGGATCCAGAGCAGCGACAGGAACGTGGTTTTATTCACTTTTTGACCCGGCTCTTTGTCTTTTCTAACTGCAACAGCCTCCATAATGTTACAGGAGCAGCATCACATCAGTGACACTGGTTCTCTCTCCCCCTTTTTTTTTGTTTATCAGTTTAGCAGAGTGCCTTCATTTAAAACAGTTTCTTATTCTTATTGTTTTTACTACAAATCACAACCAAACTTCAACAGTTTATTCACTGTATTTGTTCCTTCTTGGTGCCAGGCCATCATCAACAGCACCATCACCCCCAACATGACCTTCACCAAAACCTCACAGAAGTTTGGGCAGTGGGCCGACAGCCGGGCCAACACTGTGTACGGCCTGGGCTTTTCCACAGAGCAGCAGCTGCAGCAGGTAAATATCACACACGGACACGGTGCCAACACACAAACATAAAACAACAACAACAAAAAAATCCTTTACCGTCTTTACTTTTTTTTATATGTATCAGCAACATTTAGTAACCTTAAAACCAGCGTTGTCAGTGCAACCTCTGTGCTTAGAAAAGGAGAAGACAGCAGAGCGTTGTGCTGAGGGTCTGAGGGTCCCTCTAGAATATTCGGCCCCCTCTGAGAGTAGAGTCAAACTGATTATGCTGCAAAAAAGGACAGTGATAAAATGATACGGGCACTTGCTCTCACTTCATCATCACCAGCCTGTGGTGCAGCAAAATCAGATTTACACAAACACCAGCATCAACGTTCCCTTATTATGGAGAAGGAAAAGTATCTCATTTAAAATATCTGTTTGATGCACAAGAGATGACAGGGAATTATTTTGGAAAAACAAACAGAAAGGAGCAGCAGAAATGTAACGTGACTCCTTCAGTCTAATAAAAAGTAGAAAGTCCAAAACACAATCATAGTCACCAGGATCCACCGTGAACAGAGTGTGTGTATATTAAATATATGCTGCTCAACATCCTTTCATTTCTTGACTAAAAGGTGATTAGCACACAGGAAGCAGTACTTCCTTTCAAAATCAAAAGGTGATTAGCACACAGGAAGCAGTTCTTCCTTTCAAAATCAAATCAAACTTCTCCACAGAGGAGAGGTTTCCCTGCCACAGAGTCTGTCTCACGTCTTTGTCCTCCGTCCACCTGTAGTTTGCAGAGCAGTTCAAAGAGGTGAAGGAGGCGGCACGACTGGCCAGAGAAAAATCTCAGGAAAGGTTTGAACTGGCCAACCCCGGGCTCAGCATCGCAGCTCCCCAGGTAAAACACCACTGGCCTTCATCAAACATTCATGCTTCTGTCTGCTTGGGCTTTTTTTCCTTGTAATTCTTGGCTGGACTTGGCAGCTAGGAATGGATTCCCGGAGGTACTGTAGGTATAATCAACCAAAATAATTAAGTTATAATTGAGCACTTGTATGGGAATATGTTACATCACCGCGGCAATTTGTGAGTAACCTTAGAGCAGAGCCATAAATCAGATCATGAACAGTTTCTAATTGTCTTTAATGAGAATTTACTGAGAAGCTGAAGCTTATTCTCAACAACGCAGAATGGGCTGAGGTTCAGTACGGATTTAAAACAAAGAAGGAAAAACGTCTGTCTTTGTTGGGGTCGTCAAACATGCTGTCTGCCCTGGCCCTGCCTTACAAAGATGAGCTTTTCTGGTTCTTCTTGTTTTCTGCATTTACTTAAAATTAAAAAACGAGTAAAAACATCAAGTTGAAAATAAGTCAGAGGTTTATCTTCAGTTAGTGGAACCAGTGTGTCTGAACGTCTATATTAGTTACGAGAGTCCAGTTAAGGCAGTGAGCCGTGAGAAAGATTAACCGTAGAATTTTGGTGAATTGACAGATTTTATTATTAATTGGAAGCGAGATTTCTTCTGAGTACAACATAAATATGACTGAATGAGTTGTAAATGTCCAAACAGTGATAATGAAACAGGAACCTGCGGCGCCAGCGTCACTGACAGGGGAGCGATTAGAAGCCAATCAGTTTCCTTATTGTTTTTTTAACGTAAACATCATCGTACACGTTTCCCATCTGGCTGCTCTGTTATTGCTCTCATCATTTAACTCTGTTTCAAAACAGCGTTCCTGACAAATAGAGACGGAGACAGAGACAAATAAGGAGAGAGGGAGAATTAGTTTGATCTTTAATTAAAAGTATAACTGGCGGCGCCTGTTGTACTATATTTTATAATGTATTTATTGAATGCTGGTGTTAAGGCTCCACTGGTTGGACTCCAAAGCAGGAGGACGATCTTTGAAAATGTTGGCAGGGAAAAGAACTTGGACAGGGTCCACTGAAACAGACTAAAGTACGAAATAATGCAGAGCTAAAGCTAATGATACATGCTCCACTGGTACCAGGAAATTTGTTTGTTGAGAAGAATGAAAATTATTCTGACCCTGAAGGAGGAGGCGAACCACCAGAGACGAAGAAGATTTGTTTTCTAATCGTTGTTGCTGAGAATGGGGGGAAACGAGAAAGAGAACACAGGTGACATGTTTCACCCCTCAGCACAAACAAAATTAACCACACCCACTTTTGAATAAAGACAAATCACTCAACGATTGTCAGACACCACACGAGAAAAAAATTGCGGTGAAAATATTTTAGCGGATAACGTTGAACATGCAACTGCTAACTGCGCCAACATTTTGCTCAACAAAACCAAAAGATTCATGACATAAACAGTAAGTTAGAAAACAAAACCAAGGCTTTTGGGGGCGGGGGGGGGGGGGGGGATGTAGGGGGGGAGGGGGTGGGGGGTGGGGGGGGGGGGGCGGGGGGGGGGTTTGTATTAGAAGTATGGATGTTACAGCTAGGAAACGAGAAATGAAAAAAAAGGACGACAGATATCAACACCGTGTGGGTGTGACAAACTGTTGCCTCCAGTTTGTTTTTTTCACCTTTCACAATGTCAGTGAAAGTCAGAGTGACATTTTCTGGGGCAGTTTCTCTGACATTTGCTGGAAGGCCATGACTGTGTTTCAATTAGACAGTTTCAGTTGTGACATATGAAACTCATGTGTCATGCAAAGACGCTCCGTCTGTCCCGTGTCTCTGGGGTTTTGTCTCAAATGGCAGTTCAGAGAGTTTGTTGAGAATCCTGGTTGTTGGTGATGTGGCTCCAGTGTGTGTGGAACATCACAGAGTCAGTTGGTGATTAGGTCTGAGAGACTGCACAGCCTCTCTGTCGGCCTTGACCTCAGTCCTCAACTGATAGTTTGTCTTGTCTATTTCTCTAGTGCAACCGCAAGAAAGAAAAGAACATTGAGAAGTGTAGCAAAAAAACAATAAAAGGTCAACAATTCAAAAAGTCCAGAAAAGGAAACAGAACACCGTTTGTTCAAGCTGCCAGTGGAAATATTGTTGTTCTCAGTCCCAGTTGAGTGTTTCACAAAAACAACTTTTGGAATCCACAGTCTTTGTGATCAGACTCTCCTACTGACAGTGGTGGGTTCAGTTCTACCATCCACCCTCTGCAGCTGCAGGTGGAGCTGGAGCTGTGGCCAGTTCAAGCTGACATTAGTAGAAGCCAACGGTAAACACTTGGCAGCGTCTGTCAGTGAACAAACACACAGAGTAAATATCATTCCCACTAACATTTAACTAACATTCAGTCCAGAGACTACAAACAAGAGTAAATCCATGAGGCTGTCTGCAGTCGCTGGATTGTTGGAGGAAGAAGAGAATTCAAACAGAACACGCACGGACGTGCACGCACTCCTCACATCGTGTATTCCTCAGCTGTTTTCCTTAATCCTTATTATACATACAGATCTTAATAAGGACCTGGTTTATAATCCTGACTTCAAACCTCAAAATCAACAATAGCAACTTATCAAAATAATGTCACAACAAGTTTAACCCACCAGGAGCAAACACACTTTTTTTGTTATGTTCTGTCTGGGCCTCACGTAGAAATGTTACCAATTACAAATACAGCACATGTCTAATCTTAAACCATTCTCTAACTTACATCTAACATTAATTTAAATCCTAACTTCAAACTAAATATTAAACATCATAATAACATCCGACTTAGTGGGGACCATCAAGATGTCCCCATAAGACAACGTGTCCACTGAACAATAGTATTTTTAAGAATAATGTCCCCACAAGGGCCATGTACACACACAGATACACACACACACACACTCAGATGATGAAACATGAAAAACTCACACAACATGGTAATTCATTTCATCAAGTAATTTAAATTTACGTCTTTCCTGCTGTGTGTGGACATGCTAACTGCTAACCGCTAACCACAGCATGGCAGTATTTTTGCCTAACAAATATGAAACATACGGTTGTACTGAACAGTAAACAGGAAATCTGGCTGCAGGGAAACAGCAGTCAGTGTCATCTGTGATGTCACATGACCATCCAGTTGATTTGTTTTTTAACTTTTACTCTAAATGTGATCACAACTGAAACAACGAGTTGCTAACAGAGACCTTGATATCATCGAGTCTAAAACAAATAGTGGTCTGCTATCATCTGATGAGCTACGCTAAGACTGAAATGCTGCCCAGTGGTGTGTACCAGGCTGGGGTTTTTTTCTTGCTGCCCAGTGGTGTGTACCAGGCTGGGTTTTTTACCAACCTAATTAAACAAACGTGTCCAGTTTTGTTTTTCCAATCCAAAATGTAAAAACAGTCCTAATGAAGCAACATTACAGCTCATTATTATTTTCTCAAATCTTTACGCATCCTGCTTCGTTGTTATGGTGTCCATTTGTCATCGATAGCCGCGCTCAGGTAAATATACTCTGGCACGACGTGAATGGTTCCGTTATTCACCGCAGCAGCAGCCTGAAGGCAGTCTCTTCTAAAATCAATAATCATCTCTCTGCTTTTCTTTGTCTTTAAAAGCGGGCCGCTGTCTAGACACCAGTTTTAAAAAGGTTGTTTATTTCCAGGTATGTAACTGTCCTCATTTAGTTCAGGGACCAATCAGAACACCAGCCTCATCATCTGCAGATATAATGAGTGAACAGTTAGCCTGATGACTCACAGTCACTGCTGTTTAATGTGAACAATGTGGAGAGAGAGAGAGAGAGAGAGAGAGTGAGAGAGAGGGCATCTATCCTGATACTGTTGCCTTTTCAGTAAGGAAGTTCTATATCCACCATTAAAGGGGGGGTTATCTCCCATAATGCTCAGTTTTATTGGCTGATAGATCTACCAGGAAGGACAGTTTACATATAGAATGTTGGTGTTTCCAGAAGGTTCTAACCTGGATTAGAAGTGTGACAAAAGTCCACTGTAGAAAAAGAGAGAAAACGTCTGAGGTCTGAGGTCAGAGGTCAGCGACTCTACATGAAGCCCAGATGTTGCAGTCAGCGACAGTGACCTTCGACCCCGCTGGTCGTCTGCACAGACTTGACAGAATAATAACAACAGTATTTCAGGAGCAGTGGTGCAGCGTGTGGACTGACAACAGTCGTCCGTCCTCCCTAAGACAACGTCATTGATTTTGTGTCAGACCTTAAACGCGTCCACGTTTCGGTGGCTGTTGTTACATCTCTGTAAATCTGATCCACTGCAGCCCAATGTAGAACATCTTAGTGAAATAACACACAATCGGCGGTGTGTGATTTATTTTTACACCGCGACTATTAATAGATGAGATGGAACCGAGTGGAACGCACTTAAGACGTCCTGTTGGGAAAAGGTCTGTTTTTTTAATGGAAGTATTTGGTTAATTTTAAATCAATGTGACCCTTAAACGACTTCATTTATGCAAAGTAGAGAGATGGATGATTAGTGACAAACTAAAAATTCATGCTGCACATGTATTAACTACTGAGAATTACTCGTTATTACATACCCTTTGAACGGCCATTTAAAGTTTTGAATTTATTCAAGGCTTTTCATTTTTTGTTTTTTTTATCATGCTCAAATTATTACAAAGACTAATATTTCCACAAGATGCTACTTTTTAAATGTTGCGCAGTAGCTCTACTGATATTTTGAGCATTTTTACGATCAAAACACGGTCGTAAAACCTCACCCCAGAGTTGGAGAACTCGCTCTAAAAACTGATGTATGAACTGTTTCAGGAGAATTGTAATATTATACAAAAAAACGATCAGTTCAAAATACTGACCCTGCAAAGTCACCTGTTATTAAACCTACATGGCTTCAGTGGCCATCCTTCCATGTAGTTCTTACAGTTCTCATCTTGTTTTTGCATTCATAACATTTCCTCCTCATTCTCTCTGTCGTTTTCTGTTCAACATTTGTCTATTATCTGCGCTGTATATCTGTTTATTAATAATTCAAGAGCAACTTTGTTTACATGAGAAAACAGCTCTTTGGACGCTCCTTTTTTATGCAGTATTTAAAGCAAATGTACAGAGCCAGAAGCTCAGACTCAACAACATTTAACATTTCAATCTTATTCATTATTTAAGAGCATAAATTTAATGGTGGTATTTAGCCCCATCTCTGGAAGTTTTCGCAGCATTGGACGACACGTGACACCCGTGTGATTTTGTTGTTATGTGTGTTTCTCTTCATACTACTCTTCATAAAGTAGCACTACTGCGTGTGTCCACTGTATCTGTGGTCGACAGTAGTTAATAGTGCACCAGTCGGGCTCGCCCGTGGTCAGTAACAGCCCCTGATAACGACAGCAGTCCGCAGTCGTGAGGCTGAGGCTCATCTGCAGCTTCAGGCTTCACCAACACCGTGCTCTAAGTGGAGTCTGTGGCTGGCAGCAGGCGGTAAAGCCAGGGCTTTCAGGCTTATTTGCAGAGCTCAGAGATGAGACGGAGGAGGTGAAGTCGACGAGAGGGAGAGATCAAGAATGATAAACACGCTCACGGAGACTGAAAGGTGGACAGATGATAAACAGATTCACTGCAGCGCAGCAGGAAAAACTAAGATGAAAGACGATGATGTCGAAAAAAAAAATACAGAAACAGACCACACTGTCTTTTTGGGTTAGTACTGTTTAAAACCAAACACTGAAGCACAGATTTACTGTTTTTCATAACCATATACTGTAGCTAATGCACATTAGTCAAAAAGGAAAGATGTGGATTCCACGGTTGTTTTCCTCCTGTTTCCTCCAGCCCAGCCTAAATAATTCAAATGCAGCAGAAATAATAAAGTAGTAAAAGTGAGTTCGTATCTCTTGCCTCTAATTTGATTTAAAAAAAAAAAAGTATAAAATCATAAATGATAGCAGATCCTAGATCAGCTGAGTTAAGAGATATAAAATGAATGCGTCTCACAGTCAGATATATCGTCCATAAACAGCCCTCAGAAGACTACAGCTAGTAAATACCCCGGGGTCAGTGGTCAGCCCGCCCCTGGTGAGTGTGTGGGTGTGTGTGTGTGTGTGTGTGAATGGAGATGCCATTTTGGCATGAATAAATGAATCAGGTGGGTGTAAAAGCAAGAACATCTGGGAGTGAATGGGCTGAAGCCCAGATAAATAAGTCAAGTCTGTAACTGGAGTAGAAACGAACAGTGGTGAAGATGCTTCCTGATGAAAACTGTTAAATATTTTAGAACCGTCAAATACAACGTCGGCTTTTTTGACATTTAAGGTGTGAAGAAACGTTAGCTAGCGTTCAAATACCACGATTGTAATTAGACGCCATCAAACTGCATTTTTACCCAGTGATTTTTTTTTTAAATTTCATCTTTGTTTTTATTATTTTCAGCCAGGGCTGTGTAGTTGAACCTGTCACTCAAACCAAATGGGCGTGGCTCTGATGTGTAGCAGACTCACGATGCAGTGCTGGGTGTAAAGAGTGAACGTTGGTGCATTATTTATCACAGAGAGCGTTTTGTACGAAGCTAATGATCTTCTTTTACTTCTTTTTTCTTCTCCTCCACATGTGCTGTTGCCCTTTCGTTTTCCTGATGCGTCTGTGATACATCTGACCCTCAGCTCTCCCAGGTGGGTAAAAACACACTCCGCCTCCCACACGTTGGGGAAAAAAAAACAAACAACAACCACGTTCTTTTGACCGAGTGACTGCAGTGTTCACCGTCTTGGCTTCACGAGGAGCTCAATAATTCATCTGGAGTCTGATCAAAGTTGACTTCTGGTCTAATTTAGCTTCAAAGGCAGAGGGGGTACAGGCGGGGGGGTCACTGTCAGAGTGAATGGGCTTTAATGGTTCCACTAGTGGCTAACACTTCAGTCTATAGCGCTACACTTCCTATAGCGTCTTTCAGACAATCAGAACTGTAGATTACTTCATAAAGGCGAGGGGGTATAGACGGGTGAGTTATACGTCCCTCAACATCACCACCCCAAAACCAAACCACTGCTTCTGAAGTCAGAATGGAGCCATGCTTCTGTGCTGGTCAGACCACATAATAATCTTGATAACGTCAGACGGTTTTAGTTTCACAGGTTTTCATGTTTTGTGAGTTCATCATCCTAAAATCTGTCAGCAAAATAGATGTACCAGATAAAGTGATAAAGTGACCAGAGAGTGTGTTTTCACATCATATTCAGATTATTTCAGTCTGAGTTTGAAAAAACAGTGACGTTGTTGATTAGTTAGTTGGTTAGTTAGAATGATTGAACTCAGACTAAAGTATTTTTTAAATATTACCACGCAGTACCTCTGAGGTACAGAAACATATGAACTGAGATTCCTCTGAGTCGTAGTTCATGTGTTTGCAGGTCTTCGCTCTAATGATTCTGCCTCGTTTGCTCCGTGAGCAGCTGTTAGTGAACGGGCCGCTGCAGAAACGCTGCCGTAAATGTGTTATCCCGTTTATGACTTAAACATGGCCGACAGTTTGAATTATTCAGGGTTAGGCTTATCTGATCCGTTGGCTTTGGAGCTGAACTGGAACCGGGCTTTGATTCCCCTCGTCCTCTGGTGGATTCTCCTGGACTCCGTTCTCCTCCACGTCTCAGAGTCGGCCTGCTGTTTTATTTACATATCCATCTATGAGAGCAGAGAGAGGAAGGATGAGCTGCGGATAATAAAGTGTTGTCTTCGGTGGAAACGAGCCAGGCTGCCTTAAATTAATAATACGAGCTTTTTACTACAGTAAGTGCCGGCTTGTAAGAACGCACAGAGGAGCCGAGGTCGATGACAGGCTCGGGTTTCTGTGCAGGAAGACAAACACAGACGGCAGCAGGAGTAGAGAAGCCGTGCTTTAGCTAATTCATCTGCAAACATTAAAGACGGAGGCGGGCCGAACACACACACACAGATACACACACAGATACACACACATATTCAAACCAAGGAAAACATTTTCTGTTAAAGGAAGCTAGAAGACATGTCAGAACAGCAGGGAAGGCAAAACTAAAAGACTTGACCAGTTTGGAGCCTCTCCTCCTGGAAACCACTGAGTTATTTTTAATCTTTGCTTTTGGAATAATTGGAGGAGGAATTCTGAATATTTAGGCTCAGTCTCAAGAAATTTATAAATATATTGTCAATGTGTCAATGTGGCTTGTGTGGCTGGATCGAGTATTTGAAGAATATCAGCCCTGAACTAACACTTGGCGTCAGTGCCTTACTATCTTACTACTGCAGTACTTGACTGCATTACTTGGTCTTTCTTGCTGCAAAGCAAAATGACTTTCATTATTTCATTTCCGTTTGATTTTTGTCGTGTCCTGTGAAAGAGGAAACGATCAAATCAAAAAGTCTACAAGTGTGAAATTGCATGTTGGGGTTATTTGTCTGATCAACAGGTTAGAAAAGTCTGACGTTAAACCTCATCCAGCACAAAACAAAGCACTTGGCGATCATAATATAAAAGCTTTAAAAACAAATTTGTTTCTGGGAATTAATTAGAAAAACTGCAACTAATTGATTTCTTTTCTGAACCGACAAATTAATTAAACGTCTAATTCTTGTTCCGCAGCTTTTGGTGCAGTTTCTACCGTCCGTATCCTGGAAACGACTGTGACAGAACAAAAGTCATAAACCGTTTGTTTACGTTCCTGTTTTTTTTCTTCTTCTTTCTTTTCACGCGTCATTGACGCGTAGGAGCTGTCGGAGGAACGACACTCGCCTCCGCTGCTGACGGTTAATGGACCGGCTGAAGAGAAGCTCTTTCGCAGCAGAAGTGCAGAAGTGGAGCTGACGGTGGAGAAGGAGAGGGTCAAGAAGATGTTGTCCGAGGGGTAATGACAGAAAAAAAAAAAAAAAATACTTTTCTTCTTCCACCGATTTTAAGTTTCTAGTTGGTCTGTTTCTGTCCCTGTACCTGAGACACATTAGGGAAATCGACTGTTTACATCCAAACTATCTGTAAAATAGCTGCAGTTTACTGCCCTCAGGCCTCAGAGAGCAGGGACCCTAACCCTGACCCTGTACAACTTCAACCCTGGTGGTAAATCAGTTCCACTGCACGTAGTTATGTGTCAGTATCTGACCCAGTACTCCAATCAATACTCAGATCAGATGTGATCTGTTTTCCTCCTCCAGTTCCCACACAGCTGTGACATTTACACGACACTTAACAACTTAAAGTAGTATCGATATTAATACTGCTTCTTGGCAAATACACAAATAAAAATACACATGCTTGTATCCGTTAAAAAAACATAAGGTATCGGTATAAACCCTAATTGTACTTGTACTTTGCAAACATCCATTCACCTGGAGCTACTAAAAAAAAAAAACTGCTGAACATTTCCTGTCTGCTTGGCTTCTTATCAGCACCTCACTCTCTAAATCAATCATTTTCTTATAATTTTAGGAAAATAAAAAACTAAAAAAAACATTGACAAATAAACACTGATCTGCTACTGAACCAAACTAAAGTCACATTTATGGTTTTCTTCAATCTCCTGTCTGTGAAGGTAAAGTCATAATGAAGAGGTGAGCCGCCATGGAGAATTAAATGTTAGTTGTTTTTTTACTATGGCAACCACTTAAACACTGGCAGCCATAAAAAAAAAAAAAAAAAAAAAAAAAACTCATCTCAGCAGAAAGAAAAAAAAAACATATATATGCTCATAAGAAGCGTTAAAATAAAGTGGCAGAGATTATGGCGTGTGAAAGCAGCCAGAAATGAGTGCCTTTCAGCTTCCTGGTCTCAGACGGAGGGTTGACTGATCAATAATGGCCAACATAATAACAGTCATTAGGAAGTGCTCAGTTCAGCTGCAGTGCACGGACATCACAACTCCACAGAACATCGTGTTGATTTCCTGGAAATGTATGTAGACAGAGCTGTGAACAGGCTGGCCGTAAAGCTACAGTTTATTAGTTTTATTTTTTTTTATTTTTTTAGAATTTCATATTTAACTACTTTTTAAGAACCTTTTTCTACATGTTCTATTTTTATTTCTCCTTTTTCTTATTTATTTACATGTTTTTGCGTCAACAGTTTCATGAGTTGCACTGGTTTCTTAAGCTTTACTCACTATGTGACTGGACAAAGATTTGCAGGAAACAACATTCCGCATTTCCCCAGAACTGAATTTATTGAATTTAACGGTGCATGTGACCATTCAGCGCCAAATTAAACCCAGAGAACAGAGAGCGGTGATGCTTTGTCCTGCTGCAGCCTCGTCTTATTGACCTGCAGCTTCAGATGCAGGACTTTCTGCTCCGTGATTCTGTCGTTTCTTGTTTTATATATTTATATATTTATATGGCCCTTTAACAAAAGAGCTCCGTGTTGTTCACCCTTTTAGAAATGGTTATGATTTTGCTAAAATGTTTAAATAGGTGTTTCATTGAGTCTGAGAAAAAAAAACCTTTTAAAGGATTTGCCGTATGAAACTTTCTTTTTAAAAAGTGACTTTCTAGGTAAAAAAAAAATCTATTGTCCAACAAATTTTGGAGGACACACAGTTGGAGCCTCTCTTGAGGTAAACGCCATTTACAAAATACCTGCACGTTCAGCCAAGCTCTGCATTCTAAATAAAAGTAAACGCCATTTACAAAATACCTGCACATTCAGCCAAGCTCTGCATTCTAAATTGTAAAATATTTACTCAGACAACTCAACACCGATCCATGACGTGGCACAGCAGTCGGCACCGGAATTCAAACCTAAAACCACGTACACAGACAAAAGAGAGCAAACATCAACATGTAAAAGCTGTATATAGTCAGTGGACCCAAGTACCAGGAGTGGTACATGTACCCTAGTTTAAGAACCAACCTAAGAAAATTATTATTATTATTAGATTTTTTTGGTCCATTTTTGGAACTATCTAACCTTCAGTATTTTTCAGATTGTCATCAATACCAGAACTTTCTTAATGAAGTTATAAATCCAACAGGTGCCGACACACACACACACACACACACAGACCTCCACTGAACTCTGTAAAACCAGTGGAGCAGTGGACGCCCATTCATCAACTTCACTTCCTGCCCAACAGCACAGTTTTCTGGTGACCTCCACTGTTGGTGAACGGAGAAGTGTTTTAGACTGATTTAAAATAAATAAATAAATAAATAAAAACACCAGGGGGAGAAAAAAAAAGTACAAAAGAAATGTCTGTCATTCTGACTGACAATCGGAGACTCAAATGCCATTTCACTCTGTAACTGTGGTTACCAAGTGGCCACCTTTTCTTTCCTTTTCTTTCCTCTTTTTTTTTTTAAGATTAGTCATTTTTTATTTCTCCTACCGAGACCATTTTTCCTGGACATAAAAATTCTTTGTGGTTAGCAGCACTCCTTCTTTATTACTGGAATAGAAGTCTGTGAAGGCGCTGTTATCACTGTCCCGGCAGGGTCTTCCAAAAAGAGAAGACGCCTCTGTGCGTTCTCCAGGGCAGCTTATGTAAAAATTCTTGAACCGACACTTCATCTCATTATCTCCTGACGTTTCATTCGCCGGCAGAGTTTTTCTGCGATGGAAGCGTCCAAGCAGAACCTCATCTTAAACACGCACGAGGTTCATTTCCTGACCCTGCTCTTCACCGCATCACTTCGAAGCATTATTAC